TACTCTTACTACTCCTTCCATTGATCAAAATATTCCAGCTCATACTCCTACTGATCTTGATCAAGATAAAAATCTTTTGATCTCTTCTCTTGATCATAACATTCCAGCCTTGGTTACTGCTCTTGATCAAAAAATTCCTACTGTGATTTCTCCTTATGATCGACACATGAATGCTCCTGTTGTTGAGCAAGATATTAAAGCTGATAATCCAGGTAAATGTCCGGCTGTTACTGCTCCTTCCCTTGGTCAAGATACGCATGCCCTTCCTCAGGATAATATGCCAACTCTTGATCTGGACTTGGATGCACTTGTTCAAATTTTGAACAACGATTTGGTACCACTCCAGCCCGTGACGAGCATAAATACAGACAAAGAAAAGTCACTGATGATAGAGATTGCAAATACTGCAATAGAAGAATTAATGAAACTTTTGAGAATGAACGAGCCCTTCTGGTTCAGGTCTCTAGTTGATGGGAAATTCATTCTTCAGCATGAAAGCTACAGCAAAATATTTCGTAGGGGTAATCGCTTGAAGGGAAATCATGCACGTGTCGAGTCATCAAAAGATTCACAAGTAGTGAGCATGGGCGGGGCACTATTGGTTGAAATGTTTTTAAATCCGGTTAGCTATTTCAAACTCTTCTAATTATTTTGTCAAATATTGTATTGATTCTCTACATATTGAAATATATAGATACTCATCAAGTGTACGATATATGAATATACTCTGATGTTTCTAGGACAAATGGATTGATCTTTTCCCAACAATCGTCAGAAGTGCACAAACAATCCAAGTTTATGAAAGCGGTTCGTTAGGAAACCGAAATGGAGCTTTGCAGTTGGTATGTTTTCCTGAAAACCTTGCTTTACGTTACTTTTTATTTTTTTTATTTTGTTATAATCTCTTTGGATTAGGTGATAACTCAAGCATTTAATTTTTGCACAGATGAATGCAGAAATGCACATTCTTTCACCTTTGGTTTCAACGCGGGAATTCCTCTTCCTTCGTTATTGTAAACAAATTGAAGTTGGTGTATGGGTAATTGGAGATGTGTCATTTGATTCCTCTAAGTATAAAACTAATGTTCCTCGCGCTTGGAGGCTTCCCTCTGGATGCCTGATTCAAGAATTGACTGATGGGTTGAGCAGGGTAAATACTTATATATATACATGTTTAATTACTTATGGGCAAAATGGATAAATAAATGTGTCTCGTATATTGATGCATGCATGTTGCACATGACCTATACATACAGTATACATGGAGATATACCTATTAACTTTATTAGGATTTAATACATTTTGCTTCTTGTTTTAGAGACTTAACAATATTTTTTCTAATTTCATGAGAGTTTAAAAAAATATTATTTCTCAAAAAATATACATACGTTATTCTCATTCATTGCACCATTGTTGGTAGTAATTAACAGCATGCCAGCTAAAACAAACTTTTGTTGATGTTACGTTTTATTCTGATAGGTTTCTTGGGTGGAGCACGTGGAAGTGGAGGATAAGATCCAAACTCACCGGCTTTTCAAAGACGTTATTTGTGGCAACAAGGCATATGGAGCAGAAAGATGGGTTCTGACACTTGAAAGAATGGGTGAGAGATTTGTAAGCGCCGCAGCTGAAACTGTACCTACTTTTGACGCTGGAGGAGGTTAGTACTCTTTCTTCATCTCTTTGCTCCAAACCATGCTACTTATTATTAATTCGTGTAATTTGGTATCGATGCATTATTATTTGTTCATATATATGATATATCAAAGTCTATATATGCTATTCGTTGTTCTCAGTGATTAGATCAGCTGAAGGAAAGAGGAGTGTCATGCATCTTGCTCATCGCATGCTTAAGGTTTTTTGTGGAGGTTTGGATATGCGTGGTAGCAATGACTTCCAACACTTAAGGATGAATCATGGTGGGGTTAGGGTTTCTGTTCGCAACTGCACAGAGCCGGGTGTGCCAAATGGTTTGATTATCAGTGCTGCTACCACCTTTTGGCTTCCTCTCTCTCCTCAGCAAGTTGTTCACTTCTTGAAAGATAACAAGAGAAGAGCTGAGGTTCGAAGGGCTAAATTATTAGCATATATTTTAGTTCATATTCTTGCATTACAGAATCATTAATAATTTTTTTTTTCTTTTTGCAGTGGGATGTTCTACTGTATGGAAATCCAGCGCACGAGGTTCAACACCTTTCAAATGGATCTAATCCTAATAATTGCACTTCAATTATCCGGGTACGTAATTGTTAATTTTTATTTCTAGTTTCGAGTTTCAATTATATATATATATATATATATATATATATGGTTAAAGTAACATAGCATGTTTGGATAATTAGATTTTGTAACTTGTTACATCTGAATTTTTATAGCTTAACATATATAGGGTGAAATAATTTGAGTTTAGAAACATTAATTTAGCACATTGTTTTGACGGTTCTAATTAGTAAAAACTACTTTCAAATTAGTAACAATATGAACAAGGTCATTTCTTAATTTCATGCCTAGTCACAACAGAATATATTGTAAAATAATTTATTTCACATTAATTTGTATATTGTAAAATAAAATTACGTTTATTAAAAAAACAATTATCATTTGCACTAATATACGTTAATTATTAGAATTTGAAGATCTTTCTATAATTACATGTATAGTCATTTTTTTTTTCTTTTTCCTTTTTTCATTTAAGACAATATTAGTGTAACTTCTGTAGTTAGAAGTATTCAATGCTTGAAATGATATTTTCAGTACTCTTACAGTACATACTCCTTTGATGATTAGTATTCTCAATGCAGTTTTCTTATTTTTATCTCAAAAATTTAAATAAGAAATTATCAGATATGCTTATTAATTTATGTGAAAGGAATGCATGCTGCATTGGAATATTTTCTAGGTAACACTCTTATTTTTTATACAAAGCCAAACATGTTCGGTTGACACTGTTTGGGCATGTTAATTATTATCACAATAAATGTGAATCTCTTTACAAATGCTATTCACACACATTGAAGGCGTGACGACAAAATGGTGTTTAGTGCTTAAAATAAATATTAGCCAGAATAGTTATTGTCACTTCAAGTAAATATGACTGAATTCATTTCAATTGTTGATGTGGATGCAGCCTTTCATCCCCAAGGAGAACAACATGCTGATTCTCCAAGAAAGTTGGGTAGATGCTTTGGGGTCTATGTTGGTATACGCTCCTTTTGATATGGACACCCTTAATTACGCCATTAGGGGTAATGACTCTTCACCATTGCCAGTTCTTCCTTCAGGATTTACCGTTTCTTGGGATGGCCAATCAAATGCTGTTGAAGAGAAATCTGGGAAATCGTTAAGAGGCTCATTGGTAACTCTGGCACAACAAGTTCTTGCTTGCAGTCCAGCTGCAATGGACCAGATAGACCTTGACTCTGTTGGTTCAATCCATACTCTCGTTGCCTGCACAGCGGAGAAAATTAAAGTTGCTTTGCAAAGTAAAAATTTGGATTAATATATCTTTTATTTTCATGATGTTCCTTTACTTTTGATTAAAGACATGATGTTGTTTTCGGTGTGTTAAACTTGCATTGTTTGCGGTTGTTAGAACATTTGATGAACTCTTGGGTGTGTTTAATATTGTTCAATCGTCTGAACATTTTATGAAGTTATAATTTCTATTGTGTCAAAATTGTTCGCATCTATTAGAACATTTTCTTGCCATTATGCAGGTTCCTTTCAAAGAGCATTATAGAGTGAAATTCCATTTGGAATAGACTAGAATTTTAGCAATTTCATGCTGAACCACATGATAGCTAATTAAGTATAGACCAGAAAAATACTCACGTGCAAGAACATTGCATAACTTTTTTTATTATTTATTCAACTGTATATGACTATTGTTATTTATGAAATTCAATTATTGTTCAGATATCAATTGTGGGAATAGTCCAATGTGGACAAAATTATAGTCTTTTCATAACAATGATTTCAAAAAAATTTCAACATGCTATTTTATTATTTAAAACAAAACTTAGGTGAAATATTTAACTACTATAAATGTTACTTTTTAGTTAGAGTTTAAGTTTTACTTCAGCAATATGCATATAATAAAAGTATTTATTAAATATTAACATACCAACGTTAAAAGTTGATACATATTATTAAAAAATAAAAATCAAACTCTAATTATAAAAATCACACAAATAATATTTATATGAGTGAACCTAAATTTTATCTTTTATTCGGTTGCATTTGACTCTTGATATTTATGAATTTTAATTACTATGCAGATTTCAATCGTTGGAATAGTAATGTAGATAAATTATGATGCCTTTCATGACGGATGATCTTCACAAATTATCAGCACACACTTTATTATTATTATTATTATTATTATTATTATTTCTCAATTACAAATGAATCATGGTAAATGCCAATTTAGTTTATTCGAAAAGGTTCATTTATAGGAAAAAAAAATACATAAATATATTTACTACTTTTTCCCTTTGTTTTTTAATATATATTATCTTTCTGAAAAAGTAGCCTTGTTTATCTTTTTTAAAATAATATTATTATTTTTGTTAATTATACTCTTAACATAAATGAATAATTAATTGATAAGAGAGATAAAAATAAATAAAACAACAATTATTTGATAATTTAATAAAAATATTAAATCTATTCAATAGTTAGGCGTCAAAACTTTAAAATGAAAAATAAAAATAAAGAGAGTAACAATAAGTGTGTAGTTCATATATATAATATATATTGTGTGGGTGGGTCACATGTGTATGCAAATATCATGGTATTATATATTATCGTATAAAATTCCCATTACAGGATAAATAATGGTTGGTGATCTTGCACAATAACTCGATGATGATGACGGTGAAGATGCCGCATTCAACTATTCTGCATAATTGATTATTAATTTGACCAACATATTATTTAATTAGGCACGCATACCTAATCGTAGAGAAAATGCAAACTTGTTAATTGTACATTAAGAACAACTAGTTACTGCATAATTTATTGCTGGGTGGCAGCGCTCTACACAAAGCCTCTAATGGAATTAACTTTGGCATTGCGACACCTTTGTTCTCCCTCATGTCAATTTCATCATCATTTAGACGTTTCCAATCAAAGCACTGAATCAATAAACCCAAAGTCAAGCCCATAACACGATATGCCAAACCTAATCCCGGACAAGCTCTTCTTCCCAATCCGAATGGAATTAACTTGTTTGCTTCACCTTCTTTTTCAAATCTCTCGGGCTTAAAACATTCAGCATCACTCCAAGTTTTTGGATCTCTTTGAATGGCCCATGCATTAATCAACACTATGGTGTCACGTGGAATAGTGAATCCCCCAATATCCAAATCATCTGAAGTATAATGAGGCAATAGTAATGGAGCTGGAGAATACAGTCGAAGTGTCTCGTACACAATATTTTGAAGGTAAGGAAGATTTGGAATGTCTGATTCATCTACCAAGCGATCTTGTCCTACCTTAGTGTCTATTTCATCCTTTGCTTTCTTCAATATTTCTGGATGATTTAATAAAGCGGATATTGCCCACTCTACTGTCACAGCTGTTGTATCAGTTCCAGCGAGGAGCATTCCCTGCAATTCCAATTTAAATTAAACAACTTCCATTTGACCAATGTGTATGCCATGAAAATTGAATGCATAAACTTCTTTGTACATCGTAAAATAAAAAAGACTCAAGCTCAATCTCTTTTTCTAAACCTTTTTCGTCATCACCCTCTACCTATTTATATTTCGTAATCTACAAAATTAATGAGTAAAAACGATTTAAAGATATTTATTTTGTACATGATTTAATTACTATAGAAAAAAGAAGTAGTTTTAGTCCACACGGCGCTATTTAAAAAAAAAGAAGTCGTTTCCGTATTATCTTTGATTTCCTATTTGTATTTTTTAATAATGTCTTATCATTATTAACTTCTAATTTGATCATGTTAATTTCATGACCGCAGTCATGCATAGAGTGATTATTACTTAATAGGGAGACAGTGACGTATCACCTAACACTCGATCGATGTTTAGAAAACTACGTTGATTAGTGCTGATAAAAAATGTTAATACTATGAATATCTACATGTTACCTTTTTTCACGAATTGTACAGATAATATAATAAATTAAAAAAAAAGGTACTATATTATTTATGTTAACAAGTGCGCCATGTTCTGCACCGGATAGGGCTATAATTTGAATAAGGGCATGTTATGGAGTGATTTATGGTAAATAGGGGACATGATGTAACATGTTTTTGGCATCTTATACTCAAGTTTTGGTTTTCTCTTATTAATGATTTTTTTTTCTTTTATTAAAATAAACAACGCATATATTATTTATTACCTAAATACAGTGAAGTAGAAATTTGTTACCTGAATAAGGCCTTTGATAATATGATCGGAGTAGTACTCAGGCTGAGACTTCTGCATAGTCAAGAGATGTTCGATCATGGTATTGGTTTTGTGCTTTCCACTGCGATGCTCTTCAACAAGTCCTTGCAAAAACGCATCAGCCCTCGTACTAATCGCCTTCAATCTCTTCTCCAAACCATCGAAATCGAACCACCGAAGCAGAGGCAAGAAATCCCCTTTGTTGTTTGCACCCAACAACGACATAACCTCCGATATTATATCTCTGAACTGCTTCGCTTCCTCTGCATCTGTCACGTCAATGTCGTCGCCATAGTACCTCTTCCCAGAGATCATTCTCATCATATTGTTGAAAGTCATCTCAGTCAACCTGCGTGGTCGAGTGTGGACCCACAGAATTAATATATTTGTACTACCCAAACTATAATGTTAATAGCAATTTAAAAGAATCATTACGCGATAACGTTAAATAAAAACTCTGAATTATTCAACTTTTACATTTATAAGAAAATTGATCGTTACACACCTCATTTTAAGATAATTATATCGGTAGGCGAAGCGAGAGAGAGAGAGAGAGATGATCGATAAAATGAAAAAATGTAAAAAAAGAAGAAGCAAGTAATTATAAAAGTATAAGAATTGTATTTATAATAAGATAGTCAACTGCGTATATGCCAATAATGAAAATTTTTATACCGTTAGAAAAGTGTGAAATGGACAAGACAAGACACATAGATGGGGAAAAAGGATAACCATCGTTGTAGATTTTAATTTCTTGTGTAAAAGGCAAAAGTAAGGAAGAGATAAAGAAAAATTAAGAGTGAGAAAAAATGAGAGATGTGATAAAAAAAAGTATTGTATAAATGTATAAAAAAAAATATTGTTTATACCATTAAAATGGGATTTTTTTAAAAGTTTTATATTTAGAATGTATTTTTAGATTTATAAACACAAAAAAGAAGAAGTAAATAATTGATAAAAATAAGAATATATAATATTACATACGATTATTTTGAATAGTTAAAATAATGAAATTTAATATATAAATCTTATTCTTGTAAAAAAAATGCATATATAAATATTGTTTTCACGGGTTAAGTACGACAGAGAAGCGAAGAAAAAGATAATAATGTAAATAAATATTAAAAAAAAAAAAAAAAGGTTTGTGATCTGGTGTCCTTGGTCCTTACCTGGGTCTGAGCTGCACTTGGGTGAAGCCCTTACTTGAGTCTCGAGATAGCTTTTGTAAGACCCTTATGGTTTCTTCCCTTCGGATTTCGAAGAAGGTGTTGAGACGTTGTGTGGAGAGGACATCTATGGTGATGATGCGGCGGAGGTTACGCCAGTGGTCACCGTAGGAGGAGGAACCCATGCTGGTGTAGTTGTAGAAAAGGTACTTTCCCGTGAGGAATCGTGGCCTGTTTGCAAGCACGATGTCGTGTTTGGTGAAGCATTCTTGGGCCAAGGTTGGGGAAGAGATAACCACAACAAAACGTGAACCGAACCAAAGGGAGAAGATGGACCCATACTTTTGTGATAAGCTGTGAAGAGAACGGTGGAGTGGGGCCTTTAGATGGTGAAGGTTTCCAATTATGGGAAGAGTTGGTGGACATGGTGGAAGGTTTTTTAATCTTTTTCTTTGTACCAAATGCTTCAAGGTGAGAATGAAAACCAGAGAAATGAGCGAGTAATATATCAAAGGGGCCATTATTACTAACTTTGCTGTTTTTATGCATATTCATATCAAGGTGGAAACATGCTTTTATAGTTGGATCTTCCTTGCAGCTACTACACATAACTATATGTGAGGGTAGCTACCTGCACCTTTCACTTTGGCCATTCAGATTTCGTTCAACGAGAGATAATAATTTATTAAAATCCTCAAAATTTCTTAAAAGAATACATTCAAAGTTGAGAAACATTGTTAATTTTTATATTAGTATAAGTTTCAAAATTTTTATATTTAATTTTAATTTTTTATTTAACTTATATTTAACGATTATAATATTATTTTATTTACAATAAATTAAATTATAAATTTTTTTAAATTTATACTCATGTAGAGAAGATACTTTAATATCACTAACAAAGGAGAGAGATAGACGAATAACATCCATTCATACTTGCCCAGGGATGAGGTACGATGTTCATATTTTGTCACATATTTTTAAGTTGACTTTCTTTTACATATGTTATTCATTAATCACCTATTACATTTTTTATTTTATCTCTATTTCGACCTATTTAACACACACACACACACAAAATTGAAGTGTCAAACAATCAATATTTATCTACCCAAACTCGCAGTCAAAATATAAAAGTAGTATTGTAAAATATAAATGAGAAAAAAAGAAAACAAAATGAGACTAAAAAGAACAAAACGTAAAAAAGTGTGGAGCATAGAAAAGAAAGTAATGGAAGACCGATGAACAGCTGAGATTCCTGAGAAAGGGCAAAAAAATATTAAAGAATGGACAGTTGTAAAACTGTCACTTTTAAATTATAATTTGACACTTTGTGTCATTTTATTGTCTCTATGCAAAGAGAGAGATGAAATTGAATTATGTATTATTTAGGTATAGTAAAAAAATAATTTCTAATACTTTTTTATTTTATTAATTTCTATTTTTTTATTTTCTATTTTCTATTTTCTATTGTTTATTTCTTAATTTATTTTTTATATCATTATTAATATTTATTTTTATTTCTCACTTCATCCACCTATCTGAAAGGCTGCACGTGCGATGGTCCAGGCATAATTTGGTCCACCGGTGCACCCGAAACATCACAGAGACGTATAACGGTGGCTAATTTATAAAAAAGAAGGCCTTTATAGTAATTATATTTGTTGTTAAGGACTTCTTCACAAATTTTGAAATGTATCTAAAACCTGTCCTTTGTCCTTCTTCTACCGTTTCATCAATCAATCGAAACCCTTCATTATTTTTTATAATATATCAACGGTTTTAAATCAGTCTTGAAACTTTTGGTGCACCGGTGGACCAAAATATTCTGTACATGGCAATAAAAAAAGGGTTTAGCAGTCGTTTTCTTAGTGGCGGCTCATGTTAAGTTAATTTCAGAAGAGAAGAAAACAGAGCAATCACAATTTATTATTAAATTGTCAAATCTCAGTCTCATCCGAGTTCTCTTCAATTTTGGTAAAATTAAAGATAATAATTATTAGATAAGAAATGGTAATAATTTGTTCACATTCATATATTTAGTTCAAGTATAAATAAATTAAATGTTATCATCGTAAGAATTGATGTTTGGATCACAAATTTAAAGTAAAAGAATGGTTTTATACAACAGAATTTAGAATTTTAGAGTAAATACTCTGTATCAACAATATACCAAAAATGAAAGAAATTAAATCAAACTGAAAATATTAAAGCACAACAACTATGATGAAAATTTATTAAGTCAAAGGTGTTAGGTTGAGTTCACCCAAACTCCCACTCCAATTATACACGAGGTTCAAATTCAATGTTTAAGTCAAACGTCGATTCTTTAACTCAACAATTGAAAGTTCCAATTCTTTAGAAATTATCAATCAAGACAAACAATGAGTTCAAGAATGCCTCTGATCTTATTTTCAAGCATAAAAATGTTAATAGTCCAACAGTTATCTTCTTTCACTCATGTGTTCAACGTGAAAGCAGCCAAATTTCTTATATAAGCATCGAATTCTAGACCTCTTTTTCTTCACTTTCTGCCTTTGATCTCGATCTCTTACTAAAATCCTTCGTTCACAAAAACTTTTCTATCAGAGATGACAGCATGCTTGAAATGACATGCTTCTGCCCTAACTTTCACCCAATCCTAAGTTCCACGCCAAATCAATAATTAGGTACATTTCCTATCTCTTTTCTCAATGATTATGATTCAATTTGAATAAATTTAATTAAAAAATTCTTATAAGAAAAAATTAGTATAAAAAATAAATAAAATTTTATTCATACTTTAGATAAGTTTTTTAACTTGTCTTTTCAAATTTTAAAAGAATTAAATAAGATTTCTCAAAAAATAAAAACATAAATTAATTTATGTTTATTTTAAAAATCTACCAACATATAGTATTCTAAAAAAATTTCATTTTTTTTAAGGTTAATTAAAGTAATTAACAATAATAATTTATTAAAAAGATCATTTACTACAGTATTTTAATGGAATAAATAAACAATTATTGCTAAATACTTAAATTCAGTTTAAAGACTAAGATTAATAAAATTGCAATATTATGTATGTATAATTATCATAATTATAAATATAAACTTATATAAATGATAAATGGATTGGTTGGTCGGGCCTAAGAAGCTTTTACATATAGAGCTAGGTTTGAACTTTTTAAAAATTAAAGCTTAAATTTACTCTTTTTATTAAACGGCTCAGACTAAACTAAACCTAAGTCCTGATGGGTGACCTGAATCATTTTCATCCCTAATTTTAGTTTGTCATTCTTCAATTACTATGCCAAGGTTTCCAGAGACAATTGTCTTTGTTGCTATCATTAATCTGCCCAAAACTATCAACACAAGCTTGGACAATATGAAGTTTGCATTATATACGCGCTCATCATTTTGGGTTAAATGTAAACTAAAATTGCTCCATTAACTGGGTAGATGAAGTGCATTGTATGATGATTAAAGCCATGCAATGCATAAATTTTGGACGGTTGAGAAATTTATTATATATAGATAACCTTAACATTGGATGTCTTTGACAAAGTATTGTGCTTGTTTAATGAAACACGTATGGAAAATAGTCTATGGTTTTTATTATCCAAAGGAAAAGTTGACCAAGATGTACTTACGTCATGAATAAGTCATGCATGCACCCTTTAACAACAACGTCTAAAAGATGAATGCAGGTACCAATTGGTCACAACTGTTAATTATTGCTATGGGTTGGTAAAAATGTTTGAAAATGAAATTTCCAATAAGATTTATTTGCTTTGAAAAAATAATCTATAATCTGTTGATATGTTCATGAAAACTATCTTTTCAAAACATTTGAATTCTGAAATTCAATTACACAACGAAGAAAAGTATTAACACACCGCTCTGACTCAATTAGAAACAAACATAAAAATTATAATATTAGTAAATGATTGCAGCGCAATTAGTTTTTCTTATTAAATAACCTAATTTTGATCTTTTGATTTTTGCTTCTTTTTTTTTTTTTTAAATTATCACCAAGCCATTCTTGTTGCTCATGTGAGATGTGAAAAATATTAGATGATTAAAACTCAATTTTGGTTTATTTTTTCACACCATTATAGCAATGAAGAAAAGAAAATGTTGATATAAAATTAAAATAATTACAACAAATAAAGACAAACTTTTAAATATTCCCAATGAAAAAGAAATTGAATTCTAAAACTAGTAGAATGATTCTAGAAATAGCCCTTTTATTTTCAAAGAATGATAATGCTTTCAAAATCAAATAAAATTCAACGGCCCTTACGCCAACCCTTACATCAATATCAAAGAATAATAACAAGCGAAGAATATTAAAGATATATACAGTATGCTTACTCAAAATGCATATACTTTACTTATGGTTATTTTTATTGTTGGGTACAAAGAGTAAGGGGTAATCTATATTTTTTACCTTGGAAGTGCTCACATAAAAAGAAAAAATAAAAGAAGAAGAAGAAAAATATAACTTGAACATGGTTTGCTAATTCTTGTATATATATTTTTTTAAACTATTAACATAATTTTATTATTTTTAACTGAATAAAATTATAAAGTCTTTCACTAAAATTTCTAGACAAACAAGATTACAAACTCTTATCTTTACAATTCTTGAACGGATAAAATGTACATATTTGCCTAATACACAACTACCCAAACCTTAAATACACCTAAAAAATTACATGCAGTGGTGATTAAAAATAATAAAACTTTCTATTTATAACATTTTTCTACTTCTTCCTTTTTCAAGTTTTTTGATAGATTTAGATAAATAACTCACTTTAACCTAATAAATTATCTTTTCATCTAAAATTTTACTCTCTTTTTTTCACTTTGTTGGCATTTTTTAAGTCTTTTTAATTTTGTTGCAATGATTTCTTACTGTAAAATCTATTAACTAATAAATTTTTTCTTTAACTTATAAAAAGAATAACACTTTTTCAATTAATTTTCTTTTGGTTTTTCTTCATCCTTAATTAGAACTTCAATATAATTACTTGTATGAACCATCAACTAGGCATCTGTGTGGTCGCAGGTGCATAAGATTGAGGTCAGCCTAAGGATAATGGTGACATCAAAACCTCAATGCGAAAGAGGAAAAAAGATAATGGAGTTAAAGGAGATACTAGTGGATGGATAAATAACGAGAGAAAGAAGAACTAAGGGGAATAAGAAGAGACAAAAGTGATGACAAATAGAGGAAAAGAGGAAATAAGGAGAGGAAAGAAAAGATTACATTCTTACTGAGAAAAAAGAAAAAACCACTTAAGCTCTCATGGGAAAAGGAAGGACCTCAAGGAAAAGATGCAATGATTTTGAATCTAAGTTTTGCTTCTAGGAATTGCGAATTTAGGGTTTCAATTCACATGTAACTTTAGAAGGGGTTAGAGACAAAAAAAAGATTGCCAGCAAGATCATACTTCACTTGCCCAAGCCTAAAACCAAATCAGCAACCTAAAAAAACTCAATAGAAATCCAAGCATTAACAAGAAAAAGGGGGAAAAAA